GCGGCGATGCCTGATGCCATTGATGGTGAGGGTACAGCTACGCTGTTTGTCGATCGAGTGTTTCGACAACACGGTTTGCCGTTGGCAGTTGTCTCTGATAGAGATCCTCGCTTCACTGGGAAGTTTTGGAAGTCCATCTTCAAGGTGCTCGGCACACGTTTGGACATGTTCAAAGCGGATCATCCGCAGACTGATTGTCAAAACGAGCGAGTGAATCGCATCATCGGTGACATCTTGCGCAGTGTTTGCACTGAAACGACTAAGCGTTGGAGTTCGATGCTCCCTGTCGTTGAGTTTGCGTTGAATAACGCCGTGCATGCCTCCAACGGCTACACACCGTTTTATTTGAATGGTCTCACACACCCTCGCGTTCCGTTAACGCTACCACTGCGTGGTTCAGGGCTTGGTGGGGGAGAAGTTGCCGATCGGCCTGCTGATATCAGCCCTACTACTGTTCAAAAACAGGTAAGCTAGTTTCTCGCAACGCGATTAAACTAAAGGCAGAGGTTGTATTGAACATTATGAGGTCGGAGACCAAGTTCTACTCAATGCTAAAAACTAACCTACAAATTTATTGTCTGCCGTCTTTAAGACAAAGTTGCGTCCGCGCTTCATTGGGCCATCCACGGTCATTGCTAAGAAGGGATTGGCGTACACACTCAACCTTCCGCGCAAACTGCGCACGCACCCAGTGTTTTACGTTGGCTTACTTAAGCCGTATCGGGACCCGTCATATGTGAACTCGGAGGCGCTTGCGCCGGATAATAGGGCCTTGCCGTCGGCTGTTGCATCCGAACCAGGAGGTCAAGCTGACCATCCACACGGGCTAAAGCCAACTCCAATGCTTGAACACGTGCTCGAATCGCGTCGAGCGCACTCTGGGTCTTACCCAATGTCTCTTGGAGACCACTCAGCTCACGGAGCACCTTCAGATGCTCCTCCTTCGGTACCCCTACCACCACCGACTCTGCTCGATGAGCAAGGGAACCACCAGTTCTATGTGGAGAAACTCCTCAAGCGACGTCGTCGTCGTGGCCAATACCAGTATCTGGTGAAGTGGCGAGGATACCCAGAGTCGGAGAACTCGTGGGAGTATGAGATACCCCTTCGGCAGGACTGCCCTTACGCCGTGGATGTTTTTGAACACCGTGGCCAGGGTCGCCTTGCGAGCGAGAACGCTTCTCGCCAATAGTGGTGGGAGGTGGAGTGTTGCTCCGCACCTTAGGGTCGTGACCCGTGGCTACCATTGTAGCCGGAGCATAACGCGTACGTGTACGCAACTGGCCTCTGGCCTTGAGCTTGGCATACTCGAACCGGAGCTTCCGTTCCAGACGAACGTCAGCCACATCGGCGCTGGACCGCAGCGTTGGCACACTGCTAAGATGCCGCTTGTGGTACACCCAACAGATGAACTCATTGTCCTCCTCCTCGGGCAGTTTGCCAGCGAACAACAAGATGGGCACGCCCTTTATCGGTCGAACCGAAACACCACGAGAAAGACTCTCAAGGTGTGCAAGGTACTGACCTTGCGTGGTAAAGGCTGGTTCGAGATATCTCTCATTTAGAGCCTTGCGAAAGGCGATATCTTCTGGCGACGTAGCCTCGGGGCCAATGGCCCATGTTGAAAGGCTACGGCCTTCCGTTTGACGGAGGCGTTGCTCCACGTCTGGTGTTGAGAACACGTAACCACTCCGGTTTCGAATAACCGCCTGGGTATGAATGCGACGTAGAGCACGCTCCTCACGCTGACGGGGCAGCTACTGTTGCTCGTCGAGCGGGTTCGTTATGATGTTCTCACCTGCATCTGTTGTATGATGCTGCGCCACTGGCGCGGTGGTATCACCACCTTCAACGAACGGATTCGGTGCTGTTAGAGAACGAGCCTCAGGTACAGCGGAGTGGGATGATATCCCGTTATCTCCATGGACACTGGTATCACTACTATAGTCCACATCCTCGTCGAAGTCGAGGTAAGATGGAAGAGTCCGAGACTCGTTGGGTGGCAATGCCATGGTGTTTCGTGTTTAGCAACCGCGAGGTTAAGCACACACACACACACACCGACCTCTTCGAGGAAAGAAGCCGATTGACGTTTTGTGGTAGCGTCAGTGTGGTGGAGGAGGGTGTAACAAGGTTACACGTCGGCTGGTAGTCGACGATAGGTGTGGTGCACACAAGAGAGGGGGTACCCTATAAAGTAATTTTAGAACACAGTGAGTGTATCAATTGTTGAAGACCGATGTCTGTCATCAATTGATTGCGAGATCTTTTAAGAGGTTATTTAGGGCAGGTTAAATACGTTGTTCTAAGGTGTTCTTTTAGGTTAAAAGAAGAAATAAAATTCAGTTCCCCTTTTGATCAACATAAGACACGTGCCTTGCGAGGCGTTTTGATCGGAAGAGCTAGCAACGCCTGTAAAGGTAGCTGCTCTTGAGCACTCTGTGCTGTGATTCTCTTGGATCGTTTGGTCCCCCTGGAACAGGGACCGTAAGCTCTCTGAGCTTGTTGACTCTCTGAGTCGGGTTCGTAGAACCAAAGTTGCTCGTAAGAGCGTTAAGTCTTCTTCTGACTTTAGGAGCTGTGTAGCTTCGCTACATAATGAGCTCATAGGGACTTTTCAGTCGTTTCGAACACATCAGGCGGGAAATAGAATGTCGGTACGATCATGTGAACCGGCTGGCCCGTTGATAACACAACAATATATTAATACAGTTTCGAGCATACTTCCGGGTTGATGCTAAAATTGGTACAGTTCAAAGCATGAATAACGACCCGATAAAAAATGTTCCGACCAAAAGTTTTAACAAATTCACATTACGGTCTCAATTTGTCCGTCATTAGTCGACGATATTTAATCTAGTGATAGAAGTTTTGACGCTTGTCTTATGACATTTCAATAGATTGTTGGAGCGGATCATCAGGTGCCAAATAAGTGTAAATTTCATCAAAAGTATCTTTGTTCAAACACAAGTAAATATCTTTCATGCAAAGTAAGCACGCAGAGCGTAACAGCTGAACCCGTGAATTTAGCAGCAATTACCGAGCTTCCTTTCAGGCGTCGAATAAGGACATGCAAGTATCTCTTGAAGCACGGATATAATAGTTGGCGCTAAAAAATTTGGAAATACACGGGTCCGTATTTTATCAACTGAAACGCAACGTTTTCTTAAATCACCATATTTGCGGACAGCCCAAGTCTCGTATGAGCTGCTGAAACAGGCAATGCGGATGAAATGTTTCTTCGACATTTCGACCGGACGTTGGACGTCCACGTGATGGTCTTAGAAAACGACTGTGCATTATGTAATACTTTAATACAGCTCTGATGCGGCAAAATGCACCCAGTCCAAATTCGCAGGTGGGTGCTGAAGGAAATCGAAATTGATTGCCAACTAGAAAAACACGAATTTCTGAAGCTATTACAACTTTTGTAAGTAACGCGTTTTCTACTCGCCGGGAAAACAATTTATGCATTTACGAGGTACTCGACATAATAATAAGTATTCGCTTAGAAGGTGCCCAGCGGTCGAGCTGTTAGCCCAGCGGTCGAGCTGTTAGCCCAGCGGTCGAGCAATAAGCTCAGCCGTTCTATTGATTATATTAAACACGTTAACTTTAAGAATCAGCGAACGCGACGTCATTTTGTGCAACTACTTAAGGCGTCCATTACGTCGACAATTGGTCTTGACGAGTCGATAGCTTATATTTTTTCGTCCCCCACGCACTTGGCGACCGTTCATTCCAATTCAGTCTTGAAATACAGTGTCTCCGCGACATTTAATGGGTTTCCACTGTCGATGGATAGGTCCTTCTAACGTAAAAGCATAAGATTATGAAAATTGCACCTGGAGATAGAGTGCAGGAGCTGACGTGGATGTCATGCGCTCTGTCTCTCGTGTCACTATCATCAGTGTGTGACGCGCGACTTCCTCCAGCTGACCTAAAGCTTTGGGTGTTTCTAGACGATCACCACCCGAGAGACTTCCAGACATGCGTTGGAACCCGTCGCTTGTGCGCCAGACAGTCCCATTCATCAATCGCAGGCGGAGCGGTCCGACACAGACGTCTCTCTGCTGCGCAAGTGCTCTTTGGTCCACTACGGTCGAGTCCATTCCCCCCCCCCACACACAGACAGACAGACACACACACACACAGACCGACACATACATCGAAGTAGGTACGCGATAGACACACAGACCGACACATACATCGAAGTAGGTACGCGATAGACACACAGACAGACGGTCTCGATCCGCAGTCGCTCCTGTCAGCTAAAGTGGACGTTTGCAGCGCTCCGTGTGAACAATCGTTCGTCTGTGGTCCGTCCTGAGACCCGACGGCGCCTCTCCCTGCGAACCCATCGACACGCAGCGTCTGTCCCCCTCTTAACTCACCCCGCGCTCCTCGTGAGCCCCTTCTCCCCCCCACTCCCCACAGTCTTTCGCCCCTCTTTTCGATCGCGCAACTGCCCCCACGCAGCTCACCCGACCGCAAGTCGCCCCCAACGACACTTCTCCGAGCCAAAAGAGAACCTCTTCCTCTCTCCTCCTCGTTCCTCTTCCTCTTCCCCTCTTCCTCTTCCTCCTCTATCGCCACGGCCTGGGGGACGATCTGGGAGGTCGCAGGGACCGTATCATCACAATGCTCTGGCAACACCGCGTGGACAGAGTTTTTCACAATGCGAAAATCCCGATGCAAGCCAGTGAAGCCATGATTTGGGGGAGGATTCAGCTTCAATTGCGGGCGCTCATCAAACGTCTCCATTGCAGGGCTGACACGGCCGTGCGTGGCGCCCAACTTTCTGCATGTTACGACATATTTATATCAGAACCGAGAGGGCAGCCCGGCTTTCATAGCCAGGCTGCCAGCCGTAGGCAATGCCTGGACCCTCCAGCGTTGCTAGTGTGGTTAACAACCTACCAGAGATCTTGCACTAACCAGTAAATAGACAATCTGTTCTCTCTCTCCTCTTCCTCCTCTCTCTCTCTCTGTCTCTCGTCATGGTGCACTTTACGTCGCTCGCAGCGCTCCCGCCCCAGCGCGTGAACCGCGTGGTCGTCGTCGGGTCCCTCGAGACGCTGCAAGCGCAATCCGCGCGCGACAGTTTCCTCCACCAGACGCTCCTCCGCGCGTCGGCCCACGCCGTCGCCAGCGACGCCCCTCCCAACACACAGCTGCTGCAGTACGCGCTCGACACGCTCCGCCCCGGCCCCGACAGCGGCGCCACGGCGTCGCTCCTCCTGCTGCCCACCGCCGCCGCGAGCGCCGATCCGCTCTCCCTGACGCTGCACGCGCTGCCCACTGCGCTCTCGCGCGCCAACTGCCCCGCGCGCCCCCACGCGCTCACGTCGTTCCTCAAGCGCCACACGCGCGCGATCGTCTCCACCGCTTCCCCTTCGGCGCCCACCGACGCCCTCTCGCCCCCCGTAGTGCTCGTGCTGCTCGTGCTCCCGACCCACAGCGCCACGTGGTTCGCCGCGGGCGCAGCAGTCGCACGGGCCGCTCCGCTCTACGCGCCCCGTTCGCCGCCGCCCGGAGCGCTCCACGTCCTGTACGCGACGCCGCTCACGGCCGCCCAGCAGACGCTCGTGCAGCACACGGCCGACGGCGTGCGACTGGCCGCGCGCCTCGTGGACGCGCCGCCCAACGAGTTGCACGTGGACGCGTTCGTGGCCGAAGCGCAGGCGGTCGCGGCCCGCACCGGCGCGCGCGTCACTCTGATCCGCGGCGACGCGCTACGCCTCGCGGGCTTTGGCGGTCTCTACGGCGTCGGGAAAGCGGCCGCGCACGCGCCGGCGCTCGTGTGCCTGAGCCACGTGCCGCCCGCTGCCGCCGCCGACGCCCCGAGCGTCGCGATGGTGGGCAAAGGCATTGTCTTTGACACGGGCGGCCTCTCGCTCAAGACGGGCGGCGCCATGGCCGGCATGAAGCGCGACATGGCCGGCGCGGCGGCGCTCCTGGCGGCCTTTGACGCCGCGTGCTGCGCGCGCAACACGACGGACCGCGTGCCGCTGCACGCGGTGCTGTGCGTGGCGGAGAACGCCGTGGGGCCGCTGGCCACGCGCGTGGACGACGTGCTGGAGCTGTACTCGGGGAAGCGCGTCGAGGTGAACAACACGGACGCCGAGGGCCGTCTCGTGCTGGCGGACGGCGTGGCGTACGCCGTGCGGCACCTGAACCCGAAGGTGGTCGTGGACATGGCCACGCTCACGGGCGCGCAGGGCGTGGCCACGGGCACGCGCATTGGCGCTGTCTACTCGAACGACGCGCAGCTCGAGCAGATGGCCGTGCGGGCCGGCAGAGCGTCGGGCGATTTGGTGCACCCGATGGCGTACGCGCCCGAGTTGTACCGCGACGAGTTCGAGAGCGCGATCGCCGACATGAAGAACTCGGTGAAGCACCGCGCGAACGGCCAAGTGGCCTGTGCCGGGCAGTTCATTGCCAACCACTTGGGCGACTTTGAGCACTCGGGCAAGTGGCTGCACGTGGACATGGCGTACCCGGCGTTCACGAGCGACGACGAGCGGGCCACGGGGTACGGCGTGGCGTTCATGCAGGCGCTGCTCAAGGAGATTGACGGCGCGGACTGGTGAGACAGAGAGACAGACGAAGTGGCTGAGCAGCGAGCGGAGGGCGTTGCCTGCTCGTGCTGCGGATGGACGTGGAACAAGGAGGTAGTGGTGCTGTGACTGCTGCTGCGGATGGTGGACGCTTTGCTCAGGTGGTGAGTCGGTCGGTTGGTCGGTCGCCTATCTGCGAAGCGCCTGTGCTACTGCCGACAATGTATGTGTTGTGGTGTTTGACTGCGTACAACGTGTGGGTGTGGATCTGCTTCTGACGTTCATCGACCGTCGAGACGCTGTTTCGTTCTTGACGGTACGTTATTGCTGGACGTGGACTGGTACGATCGACTGACTCAGTCAGCAGAGTGTCTGCGTGGCTCGCACCTCGAGAGGCAAACCACGAGGCGGTATCCTCTCGACTGTTGTCGACTTCCTGGCAGTCGCAGTCGGATACTGTGGCACTCACTCTTTGCAGCAGAATCGAAGACGTGAGCCGAACGTGGCTGACCGTCGAGCACGTTCGCTCCTCATCGAAGCTGTCGAGACGATCCGCTCTGCCGACACTTCGTTGGACGAAGTGAGGCCGTTAGCGGTTGTGGCCGTACGCTCGAAAGCGTCTCGTTGCCGCATGTTTCCATCGGCCGTCAGTCAGACTGTGCTACAGCAGACTCACTGTGGCAGCTACCGCCAATGACCCAAACAGTGCCGAGATCGTCGCAGGTTTTGTTGGTTTCGGATACCGTTTACCGTGATCCCGGCGCTCGCTCGCTATCGTGTGTTGTTGACACCCCTTATCCTATGCAGAAACTTTGTGTGTCAAACACACGATGAAACACCGTCGGTTGGTTCCCCAACGGATGTTGATTCTGTTGCGTTCTCCCTAAGTACGACACACAACCCGTCCGCTTTCTCGAACTTGTTTCGAGTCGACTCTCGAAGATTCGCGATCGCGTGTGTCGAAATGTAGCCATCAGTGCTCTCGTTCCACGCACCAGAGACAGACGGACTCGTGCGTCGCTCAGTCACTGATTTGCAACGTCCCACACACGTCGCGTCACTTTCGTGCAACACTAACCCCACACCAACGTCAAGTGTCGAGCTATTCGTTGCCTGGCCACACCACCGCCACAGAGACCCCATGGAGCTCCAAACGTCGCAGCCAATGGACGAGACGCGCCGCCGACTGCAGTCGATCGAAGCCAACGTCCGCATCGTGCAGGGCACTCTCCGCGACCGCTTACCCGCTCAGTACCGCCACGTAGCGGCCATTGTCTGCGGGTCCAAGTGGCGACTGCAGACGTTTCGGTCGCTGGAAACGGCGGCAGCGATCGTCAAGAGAGCGCGCGTCGAACTCGGGGCCTTTGACTACCGCGTGAAGGAGCAGGCGGAGCTGTTGACGCGGTCGTTGCTGGAGCTGGACGACGTCTTGAGCTACGGAGACGGACAGATCAAGAGCGCGCGCAAGACGCTGGTGGTGTTTATCCAGCAGCAGCTGCTGCCTCTGGCCGATGCCTGGAAGGACCGCAGTGCGAGGCTGAAGGCGTTTGGGGAGCTTGTACTTACTCGAGTGCGGCCGCTCTCTGGGCGCGCGGACTCGACGCTCGGCGAACAGAGCGACGTCGAGTCGGACGGTATGCACGTGTCGAGTCTCTTTGGTCAAGAGAGCGACGACGGAGAGAAGGAGAGCGGAGAGGAGAGGAAAGAAGAGGAACAAGAAGGAGAGGAGGACGAAGAAGAAGAAGAGGACGAAGAGGAGGGGGAGGAAGACGACGACGAAGAAGAAGAGGAAGAGGTGGACGACGAAGAGAAGGAGGACAGAGAAGAAGAAGACGAAGACATGGACGAGGATGTTGACGCCAAGGAGGAGGTTGAGTCGTCTGTTGCTTTGGCAGCCAGTGGCAAAACTGATAGCAAGGACGAGGAAACACCCACGGGCGCACCGCAAATGTCACCGCCACTCGAGTCGGCTCCAGCGACTTGTCCGAGTCAAGACGTTGACGTCCAGTCGCTACCTGTATGGCGGCCGTACTACCAGCTCCAGCGCCGACAGGATGGCGTGTACCTGATCGCACGACTCAACCACATTGATCCGCGCAACGTGCGCGTGCAGTGGAACGCCCACAGTGGAGTGCTTCGGGTGAGTGGCTTCCGACTTCCGACGCAGAAAGATGTGGTCATGTCGCGTCTCAGCGGTGCCCCGACGTTCGGACGCTTTGAGATCACTGAGCAGTTTCCACGGAATATGCTCAACATGGACGAAGCGACGCAGCAGATCTCAGAGACCGGTGTCTTGCAGATTCGCATGCCGTTCTATGTGGCACCACACCCGCTGCGGTATCGTCCAGCATCGTTTTACCAGCCGCAAGACTGCTTTGTGTGGTAGAGCAGCGGAGCGAAGTTGGGTATATCTTAAATATAGGGAACCGCTAATGAGCCCTTAGGTTTTGCTAATGAGCCTTCACCCTTTACATTAAACAAGTTGTTGGATTTGAAGGTCTTTAGGTTCTAAAACTAAATTGATGTTCTTTAACGCTCCTGATTCTAAAACTTTCACGGTCGATCTCTAAGACACGATATCATCATTACAAGAAGCAGAAAAATATTTGACCTGCGACGCAGCACAAGACAGTGCACTAGACGAAGCGGACTTTGCTGCGTGGTGCCTCATGATGATCGTTCTTAAGAGCGCGGAACGGAGTAATAGACCACTCTAGTTATAGCGCTTTTTATTTTGGCCAACAAAACAGCTAGGAGTGTACGTCAATCCTCCTCCCGCTCGTCTGGCGTTACCGTCGCTCGTACCGTCGTCGCTCGTGCATCTGTTACTGGCCGCAATTTTGTCGATATAGTGCCGTCGATTCCATCTCCCTAGTTAAAATCAGCTACTGGGGGCCTTCATGTAAACGCGATTGGAAGCTGTTCGCCACCGACCAACGTCACGCAGGACATGAGTGGCTTAAGAAAGGTCATCGTTTTCTACACACGTGGACAGCTTTGGAGGATTTATAGCAGTATCGGTTAAGATTAATTTGCTGGCCTGTTCAAGCACGGAAGGATTGAACCTCGGTGGCATGTCCGATGTCGGGCGCTATGTGTCTCGCCTGGGCAACGATTTAATGCCATCAGTGAGCGTCAATGTAACGGACGTCCTTAATTCTAGCGGCTCGATGGATACGCAAGTGTTCGTCTGTGTTGATGACGTGAACGCAGCGACGAACACACTGATGTTTGCAGGATCGATGAAGGTTTGCGATGGCTATGGATTGCTGCCAGCTGTGCTGAATGGCATGCTGCTGTTCAGCGGATTTCTGACACTTGGATGCCTGATGATAGACGTGTTTTCGCGCTCCTGTTGATCCGCCATCGTCACCGGCTGCTGTCTCTGCTGTATTGGGGTATTTATTTGGTTTTCGTCATGGGGACGGCTGCTGCAGTTTGACTCACCCGCTCCACAGGATAAACGAAATGGGCGAACCGGTGTCCTGCCCTTAGCTGGCGATGGTTCCGTCTGCGGTGATATTGGAAGTGAGTATTGTGAGGCATGATGAGGATGGTGTAGTCGGATAATAAACTATCCTTTGCGCTGTGTATGTGATACCGATAGACGATGGTGCGCACGCTGGCTCGTATTATCCTATTAATTGTTGTCTTGGATGCAGTATTATTCGAGGAGTAGTCGTCTTTAAGTTTTCGTGACAGCCTTTTTGTCACTGACTGATTTGGTGTTGAGTGCGGCTCGTGCTCCATCAGGAGTTGCTTTGACATCGCTTACATCCACATGATCGACTGCGTTTGCGATCGTAAGTACATCTGTGTGTTAAGATAACGTAGACTACCCACACTTTTGCTTAATAGAATACCAAACTATTACATAACTTAAAGTGTAGGCTAGCATTGGCTTGGTTAAGTTGGGTACGACATAAACGTGTAAATATACGATCTCGATATCACAGCAAAAATCATGTGCTTCTCAACCTCTAGATTTGCTTGAGTGATATAACAAACCCATCTTCATGAATCGACCGTTGAGGAAAGGTTTAAAAGGTTTTATGAGGCCATTAAGACAGAAGTTAATGTGTTGTTGAACAGAGTTATTTACATAGTGATGGCATCTAAAAAAAGCATGTATATTGCTTACGACTATCAACATCTACATCACAGTTCAATGTTTGATGCAGCATTGACAGCATCAAGCACAGGATCGAAATGCGCTATACCCTCAATTTGTCGCATTACTGGAGGTGCTGCAGGCACTGCTTGTGCTTGTGCGGCTTGACATGTCCTGCCCAAATCCCCACAGCGTCCACGTCGTCGACGTCTCGTAAAATTAAACGCGTTCTATACATGCTCAAAGTGAGATAAATTGCGGCGGGCAGAACCTGTTGGGCTCCTGCGCGTCCTTACCAGCACAGGGTCACGTATTGCAGAATCTATAGCAGTGATAGCATGATCGTATAGCATCCTTTGCTGGTGTCTGTCAGCATCAACATACCTTTCAAAAAGTCATTTTATCACAGCGTCATAATCGATAACATCACATCCGACTGACTCGGTGCCAGCCCTTCGTGTTGAAGCTTGGACCAACCACCAATGATGGTTAAAAATGATGTACTGTAAACGGCCGATACAATCTGGATATTGCATGACGACATCCATATTCCATTTTATTTGTCATCATATTCTGACGAGGTCCTGGGTCAAGTCTTTTGGACCATTGACGCTGCCAGTACACTTCCAGCGGAAATCTGGCCCATTGATCCTGGAAACAGAGTTCCTAGCTGCATTTCGACGATGTCGCGTTCCCTTGCGTTTTGGTGGCTGACTATAGCAAGTTGGCCGTGGCAAGCCGACTCGAGAGCTTTGCTTACCGAACATAGATCACCTAAGGGCAAAAATATAATTAGGTAGCCGAACTGCCAATATCATTAAGTTCAAAGTAATGCTTTTTACCTGTGGATCCATTCAACCACTTCTTAAAATCCGCGCGCTCTCGACACGTGACGTTGTCACATGACCGTAATGTAGATAAA